TGGACACCTTCCTTATGTCGTCTCATCGGACGCGTCCGTGTCGGCACTGTCGACGTTGCGTGCGTCGATCGTTGGCGTCAGTGACGACGCAGCAATGGCTGCTGTGACCGGAAGCTTGAGCGTCGGGTACGAGAGGTGCGTCGTGACCTCGCACGTTCCGTGGTGTCCGACGCCGCTGCCGCGCGCGAGCCGAATGTCGCCGGCCTCGCCCCAGTTGGTGCCCCACACACTGCGCACCTTGAAAAAGTCGACGGGCGGCGCGCCATTGCCAGTGTCCTCGGTGCCGTAGCCAACGACAAGCACGGCTTGGTCGGGGTATTCGGCGGGGCACCATGAGAGAATGCCGCCAGCGTACAATCGCCACGAGGTGTTGGTCGTCGTAACGTACGCGACAACCGGCTGCTTCTGGAGCTGCTCGACGAGAGCGTTGTCGCCGTTGGCTTCGACGACGGTGCCGGCTTGGAGCGAGATGGACCCGGCGCACTTGGAGTAGTCGCTGCAGATCGACGATGATCCGGTCTCGCCCGACGTGTACGGGATGTCCAACCGCGAGCATACATGGTTGGGCATCGTGACGAGCCACTCCATGCCAGTGGTCGCAAAGCCACCGCGGCAGCTGCTGGCACCTCCGGGCGTCGTGCAGCTCAGCACCTGCTGCACCGAGAGGTCGATCGCGTCGCCGGTCGCGAGGCAGTGCGCCGCCGATACGGCTGCCGCCGCTGCAATCGCCCAATGGCTTCGACACTTGCCCATGGTCTTGACCGGCGGCACGCACACCGACTGCTTGGTCCAATCGATCGAGCGGAGAAGAGGGCCGCCGACAACCGTATGGTTCGTTCCGGCGGCGGACGACAGACGCTGTGGCCGCGCGCCGCCTACCATTGCGAAGCGCGCAAACTCTTCGTCCGTGAGCAGTGCAAACTTGGTCAAGTGGCTGAAGGTGGCGTGCGGGTTGGCTTCCTGGAGGGATGGAAGCATCGCCTTCGCGGCTCGAATGCGCCCAAGAAGCACGTCGCGGTACGGCTTGACCGGCGCCATGGCCAGGCGCACGTCGTCGTCACTGCCAAATCTTTGCTGCCAGAGCGCCAAGTCGCGGTTGAGCTCGGGACGCTCGGCGTCCGAGATGCGCTGCGCGCCGACCGTAGCCGCCAAGACAAGCAGATCGAAAAAGAAGAAGCGCATGGCCAGCCGAATGCAAACTAAACTGAGCGTGCGTGGTGGTAGAGCGAAGTGGTGCGTCGCGTGCTGGGAAACAAGCCGGCGGGGCCGATCGAAGCTTCGATCAAACGACAACCGAGCGACGTCAACCAAGCAAAAAGCGCTGGATACTAGTACTCTAGTATTTCAAAGTTGTGGCGACTCCGACGCTCGGTGACGCGCTGACCCGTGCTCTCGGCGCTTACCCGAACAAACCTCCGCGGTAGCACGGAGCAAGAGTACGCCCACGGGAACATAGCGCGCTGCCCTTGCACTCTAAATGCATCTCGCAAGACGAGCGAGGGATGTACACGGCGACTTGCCTAGTTGCAAAGGCACTGAATTTGGTTTTAACGTTAATATCAAGGTATCGACGTTTCGAATCCTACGTGGCACGTTCTGGTGCCTCCTACGCTCAAGCGCCCTCGACATCAATTGTGGGCTGTGTGGTCGGTGCACGCTCGCCCCGGGTTGTCATCGTTGGTGTGTGCGGGATCGCTCCTGCCGTCGCATCGCTTCGTCTTGACGACGGCAGCACCGAGTAGGCAAGGTACATGGCGAGCTTGCAGGTGCCTGTCTCGCGGTTGAGCCCTCTTTGGAGTCGAATGTGGCCGCGCTCGCCCCAGTCGGTGCCCCACGCGTTCCGGACCTTGAAGAAACCGACCGACTTTGTGCCGTCGTCGACGGCCTCGGTGCCGTAGCCAACGACAAGCATGGCTTGGTCGACGTACACGGTTGGCGGACACCACGAGACGATGCCGCCGGTGTACATCTTCCACACGTTGTTGAGGGTCGTGACATAAGCGACGACGGGCTGCAATTGGAGCTGCCGGGCAAGGGCGTCTTCGCCGTTCATCGTCATGATCGGACCGGCACGGAGCGAAATTGTCCCGGCGCACTTGGTGTTGTCGCTGCAAAACGGCGCTGACCCGGTGCCGCCCGACGTGTACGGGATCGCGGACTCGGCGCAGAGCGACTTGGACTGCGACACGAGCCAGCGCATAGCGTCTTGCGCAATTCCGGCGCCTTGGCAGCCGTCAGGGCCGCCTGGATACGCGCAGCTCGTCGTGAGCTGCGCCGAGAGGTTGATGATCTCGCTCGTTGCGAGGCAGTGCGTCGTCGAGACCGCCGCCGCCGCTGCAATCGCCCAGTTGCTAGCGCATTTACCTTTGTACTGGACCGGCGGCACGCAAGACGGCGGCGTTGTCCAATCGACCGTGTCGACGATGACGCCCCCGACAGGCGCACTGCGATTCAACCGCGCCGCCGATGCGAGGTGACCGGGCGACGGCAGGACACCCGGAGACGCCTCGGAGGCGAACTGCGCAAACTCTTTGTCGGTGAGCAGCGCAAACTTGGTCAAATGGCTGAACGTTGCGTACGGGTTGGCCGCACGAAGCGCCGGCAGCTTGTCCTTGGCCGCCTTCAATCGCCCAAGAAGAGCATTGTGCGTCACGTTGGCCGACGCCGTGACGGTGCGCACGTGGTCGTCGTTGCCGAACTTCTTTTGCCAGAGCGTCAAGTCGGTCGAGAGCTCACGGCGCTCGTCGGCCGAGATGTTGAGCGCAGCGATAGTCGTGGTCATCGAGAGAAGGAGTACACCGATGGCTGCCGTCAAGAGGAGCACCGAGAGGAAGCACATCGCACGCAGTAGCGAGAGAAAGA